TGTGGCTCCGAGAGAGGTATTCAATCTAGATGTTGATGTTCTCTTTATCAACAACGTTTTCACCCAAATGCTTCCCGATATCGTCGGAAACACGACGGCGCTGTTCCTCACCTTTGCTAACAACAATTTCACCGGTCCGATTCCAAGCAGCATTGGCAAAGCCAAGAACCTCCTAGAAGTGCTTTTCCTCAACAACCAGCTCTCAGGGTGCTTGCCGCATGAAATCGGCTACCTAAACAAGGCCACCGTCTTCGATGCCGGTTTCAACCGGTTAACGGGTCCGATACCTTTCTCCTTCGGATGCTTGATGAAGATCGAGATCCTGAACTTTACCGTCAATGAATTGTACGGCGCGGTGCCGAAGATTGTCTGCAAACTCCCCAACATTGCAAGTCTATCCCTTTCATACAACTATTTCACTCAGGTTGAGTCAAATAATTTTTTTAACAGGAAAAAAAAATGGAAAAAACGTTTTGCTTAGTTCTGGCTACATAATAATGACTATTAAATGAAGTGGGCTCCAAGAAACTTTTCTTTTATTTTTACCAAAAATTAAAATACTTAGTTATTAGTGTATATGTTTGCATTGTTTTTCTTAAATATTAATTTAATTCAGTTTTTATTTATTCATGTAGGACTGAATGTAAAAAATTAATAATGGAGAATAAGCTTCGTATTCAGAAGAACTTCATTTCAGGCGTCCGGATCAAAGACCAGGAACAAAATGCGCTGCATTCTTCTCTAAACGCAAGTATTGTCCCAACGAGAAGTTGATGAAATGGATTCCTTGTAAGAAAGAGTTGAGTTGGAACAGAATGGGAACGAGTTCGGAGCAGAAGAAAAGTAGTGGTCCTGCATCAGTAGGGTTCACATATGGGACTCTTGTCGCACATGGACCGTAATAAATTTAAATTAATGCGTATCTTCTGCAATTTGACTCATTAAGATAATAATGATGGGTCCTGGATAATAATGTCTAAGTGTGTAATTAATAAGTGTGTAATTAAGTCTTCAATGTAAAATTTTCTTTTTAAGAAAAGGATATTAGATTATATAATATAAATTATTTAATTTATTATGTTTAATGATAGAGTTATATATATTTATAGTACATGTTTACAATTTAATTCTTTACCTTTATATATCAAAAAAATAAATTATTAGATAAAAATAAATTAATTGATATTATAAAATATTTTTTTATTTAAACATTTTTATTTTGTAATTTAATACAATTTAAACTACAAATAAAAATTACTTCTTTTGCACGGAAATGTTATGCTAGAATCAGAATTAATAAACTTCTTTTGTACATAAGATCTTTCTTCTTTTCTTTTTTTCTCACCGAATAAAAGTCAATAAAAGTCACAGCACTCAACATTGCAATTACGAAAGCGAAAAAATGAACAAATTCAAGGCACATGCTCCATTAAATAAAAATTTTGGATTATTTCATGTTTGTCGGATTTGAGAAATCTATTCTTCAGTCTCAATTGACTGAAAACATGGTCAATTGGCATGGGTTTAGAATATCCATTTTGCCCCGACTTTCTTTTCTTTTTAAATTTTTTTTCCCCTGGTTTCCTTCGTTCTTTTCCTGGATTTTGTACACGACATTGCATCGAGGAGCAGGTTGTTCAATGATGGTGCTATTGCAAAGTGTTTCTCTAGTGGCAGCAACGGGGCTGGTTGTGATATATTTTGTGTTTCAGTTCTAGTTGGAAGGCCAGGCTGCTCGCGGTACGGAGGTAGGCTGCGACCAGCCTGTGCTGGGGTATGTAGATAGACGTTAGGAGCAAGGTTTTTAAAACCGGACCGGACCGATCGGTTGAACCGATCAAACCAGTACCCAATAATGAAAATGGTTCAGTTTACATATGAAAACCATTTGATGTCAAAACCGGTAGAATTGAAAAAATCGCCGGCTCAATTTCTAATGCAACCTTCTTTCTGTTTTTTCCAATTTCACCCTCACCATTCCTTTCTTATACCGATTTTAACCCTTAATTTTAACAAAATTACAAAATCATCATGCACCAAATTAGAAAACCCTCGAGCTGGACTCCTCCTCCAATCCTCCCAAGTCCCAATCGAAGTTCTCTGCCTCTCTACCCTCACCTACACCGCCGACGCTCCCCTCCCTCTCTGCTGTGTACAATCGCCAGCGCTGCTCTGTTGCTCTCTGCTTTCTACAGCTGTTGATCTGCAGCCCTCACCGAACCTGCTCCCTGCCTTCTGCTAATGCACTCTGGCCGGAGCTGCTCTCTGCTCTCACCGAACCGAAGCTGCTATCTGCCTTCTGCTGATATGCTTTCTACTCTCTGCCTTCTGCTGATTTGCTCTCACCGGAACTGCTCTGCTTTATGCTGATCTACTCTCACTGGAGCTGCTCTCTGCGTCTGCTGATCTACTCTCATCAGAAGTTCGGAACTGCTTTCTGCTGATACTTTCTTTCACTTCAGTTCATCGACCCTGCTTTTTGCTGTTCTCCTCTCACCGGCACTTGTCTCTGCTTTCACCGGCGCTTGTCTCTGCTCTCACCGACGCCGGTCACCTTTCATGTGCCTCCTGTTCTGCAATTGGCCTTCACTGCTTCTTCACAGCTCACACTTCACATTCACAGCTTCTCCCACCTGAGCACAGGTATATTTTGGTTTCATAAATTGATGAGAAAAAATTGAATTAAATTTATAACTTTTTAGAATTAGAAATTGTTAATTATTTTCCAATTTTAGAATTAGAAATAGAGTTGCTGGACACTTGCAGGACACTTTGAATTTTTTGTATTAATTAGCCATATGTTCTGTATCTGGGTTGGTTTTTATATGTTCTATATCTGGGTTGATTTTTGGACACTTGCAGGTTGCATATTTTGTGTTAATTAAACTTTTAACTTGTTTTAATCTTTTTTAGTTTTTGGAGAATCATTACATGTTGAAGGTGCAAGTGGAGGAATTGATTTGGAGTCTATTGGTGAAGAAAATGATGAAAATTATGATGTTGAAAATGATTTCTGTGAACGTGATGCATGGTTCAATGAAGATCCTCCTAATTTAAGGAGAAATGAATGAACAAGTCATTTATTAGTTTATTTTATTTGTATTTGAAACTTAAATGAATTGTTATCTATTTAGATTTAAGCCTTTTTTAGACATCTTTTTCTATTTGTTTTTGGATTTGAAACTTGTATTATTTGCTTGCTTACTTGATTTTTTTCATATGTATTTTGTTTTGAGAATTAGTATTGAGATTATTTGATGAGTTTGTAAGGTAAAAAATATAATATATTTATGTTAAAAAGTTGTGAAAAATGGTCAGAAGAGCAAAAAATAATGTTGAAGGCTTGAAATGTTAAGCACCGGAAGTGGAGCTGCCCGCCTGTAGCCTGCAGATCTCCCTTGTTGTTTGGACTGGCCGGTTCATCGGTTCAACTGGTTGAATCGATTAAACCAGGAATCAGACTTGAAAATGGTACAATGACCGGTCCGGTTCTAAAAACCTTGGTTAGGAGAGAGGAGGTGCTACGGAAAGAGTTATGAGGCTGCAGGTGCCTTTGCTGCAATTTGGCAACATGGGGCATGCCCTACCGTCAAATATACAAATTCTCTTCTAAAATTATTGCATTAAAATAAATCACTATAAAAAAAAATATTGACATAATCTGTCACTTAAAATTTTTATTTTTTAAAAATTAGTCTAAATCTAACTATTACCATTAAATTTTATTAAACTATTGCTTTTGAAGTCAAATAAAAAATTAACAGTAATTATTAAATTTGGTTTGATTTTTTAAAAATAAAAATATAAGATGATAAATTTTATCTATATTTTTTTGGGGTGAAAATTTACTAACAATTTTAGAGAGGGATACTCACCTTTTGCCTGTGCCCTACAGGTGTGAAAATTGAGTTTGTGCATTTTAACAAAATATATGGTTATATCAAACTTAAAATCTATTAACAATAAATAGAGCAGTATTCTTTGTATTTAATTAGTATGTAAAATTTTAAAAAATTAATTAATTTCAATTATATTACTTCAAATTTACTTGACAAAAGTTGTTAATATTATACGGACGTAGGTATTGGTTTATTATTGAATGGTACATTTCAAATACCAAAAAATATTCTATTTCATTTCAACTTTATTATTATATATATATTTTTATAAATTAAAAATTACAAAGAAAGAGCTATTAAGAACAAAAATAAAGGGCACCTGGTCTTTCGGCCCAATTGGTATCTTATCAGTTTGAGGTGCATTTCTCTTTTTTCATAGGTGAGTTTCGAATCCGTCCCTTGATAACTTATTCAAAAAAAAAAAAAT